GCCACGTGCTGCGTATGCCAGTCGACCGACTTCCTCGAAGGACTCTTTTCGCACAACCACGTGAAGGGTGGAAGAGAGCCAGAGGTGGTCAAACAATGACTTGGCAGCGAAGTATGAAAGCCATTACCAGCAAACTCAGCTGCGCTGGTAATTTCCGTCTTCCTGGATGGGAACCCCGAGACGGGCCACACCAATGGCTGGAGACATTGTCAGATATGGCCCAGTCGCGCCCTCAATGGCGCTCGTGCATCAAAGCTATTGTCTTCAATGTATAGCTCCTTTTCCAACGCCCCCCCCCACTTGACAGCCCACTGACAGTGCTGGATTTATGCACCAACTTATGAGCGCGCTCCTGCAATGCACAGTTATCTACCCCCTCCTCCAAATCACTGGTGAACGAAACTGCGGCAGCTGCAACCACTGTACGACGAGTACGCGGCTATTACAGCTGACAATGATGATGATGATGGGTTGCTACCAGCGCGCCCACACCTAGACAAGAGGACAATTAGGGGCCTTAAACAAAGTCTTTGGCTCAAAAGGTCAACCGAAAGGCAGTGGTGTGGGACTGGAAATGCAAGAACGTTTCTACGAAAACGTTGCCACACATGTTCCAACCCCCAAGATGGATGGCAAGGGGAGTGTGTTCGTTAGATCGCTACCCATTGACCAACCTGGTATGAGAGGGTATGAGTGTCGTGGGGACACCCCTAGTATAGCTCAATGGGCCGCCGAGGTACACCAACCGCCACGCCACGGTAAGGTCCAGTCTCTTCGTGACGGAACGACATATGGGCTTTTACCCTGCCTCAACAGAGCATTCAGGGCATCATGAAATTTGTCTTTGATGATATCAGAGCTACAATCAGTTGGGGCGTAAGCAGATACAACAACCAGACATCGATCAACTTCCCGCTTGTGAGATTCCTTCATTGACGTTATCAGACGAACCGAACAGAGGCGAACATCAACGGGCATCCAGTCAAGGAAGGATCATTCCGCCCGGTCACTTAGGACAATACCGACCTCTGCGTAATCCACCGCAGCGGCCTCGGGATCACCGGAGATGCGCAGCTTGCAGACATCGACTTCCCGCTTGTGAGATTCCTTCATTGACGTTATCAGACGAACCGAACAGAGGCGAACATCAACGGGCATCCAGTCAAGGAAGGATCATTCCGCCCGGTCACTTAGGACAATACCGACCTCTGCGTAATCCACCGCAGCGGCCTCGGGATCACCGGAGATGCGCAGCTTGAAGCGAGTGAGGAGCGATGAGGTGGTCAACTCAACAACTGTTTTCGTATCTTAAATTCTTTCTGATACACAGAATATATCAATGCCAAGCGAGTCCAGTCATCATTCTCCAGTATTACCACGTCCTAACACCCGATTCAGGTAGACAGTGGATTACTGCAGGACCCAAGCTTATTTGTTGATGACACTTCTTGTTTTGGCTTGTCGGGCTTAGCAAAACTCTGCATAACTACGTTCCTCCTGACTTTACCATATTTGACTGCTGCGAGTGGGTTAGGCTACAGCAGATTCAAATTTGTCCCGTTTGATCAAGGTGTTGTCTTGCTTCGGAGTGCGGACATTGAAGGCATTCAGGTAGACTGGGCTTCGAGGCGTGGAGGTTGATTCCGGGATACCTGGGGATTTCGGCACCGGATGATGTGCAGATGTTGCTGCAAAAACCTATGCAGGACGAACGGAGCTATCAGTCGTGAGTACTGTTCCTACAAAGAGAGAGTTATTGATGGGGTGAGGATAGGGGAAGAAAACTTATGTGAAAGAGGAGGAAGAGAGGCGTCAGCACTAGCCTGTTTTCGGTCACCTGCCCTGTTGTATAGAGCAAGTAAGGCGACCCATCTGATGGCACCGTGCAATGGCCGATGTAGAATGAGTTTACTTGTATGTGTGCAACCAACCACTTAGATCGCTTTCTCTAGTGATGTTGCAGCGGGCATCTGGGGCCTGGTGATACTGAATCACTTCTGATTCTGGCATGTTAGATTTTCCAAGTAGCCAAGTACCTCAAATTACGGTCACAGCATCTAGATCTGTCGTTCCGTTCAGCTGTAGTACCCTTTCGGTGCCTAACTGCCATGTCACCCGTAATGTGCACCAGGGCTGGGATACTTCCAGGTCGCCCAATCTTGGACGGGGGAAGTCGAGATGCAGAGGTCCGGTTCGAGCCACGGACCTTCCGTTCAGTAAATTTGCGCTCTAACCACTTGGGCCATCTAGATATGCATCTTCATCCGGTAGCAAAACGCACGGTAGCAATCAGCCTTCGTTGACCCTCAAGCTATCTTAGACCACCGTCATATAGAAAGCAATGTTTACGAGGAAGCACGTTAGAAAATGTCCTTTTACGAGAACTCAAGCTGAATCAGTTGGCAACGATGTAAGAAAACCTGTTCAAAGAAGATGCAACTTTATATCTCTTGAAACATGCATCTTCAATCACTTGCGCAAAACGTTATCGAAAGTGACAAACTTTGAGACAGTTGAAAACAGCTATTTTTTCGGCTGTGAGAAACGTGTCTAGCTTCTTCTGTTTGAAACCCGATTATCATGGAGCATCCTACCTGTAGGACCACAGAAACAGCTATTTTCTTCAATCGCTTTTGAGTTGTATTTTTTTTGCTAAGCTATTTTCTCAATCGCTTTTGAGTTGTATTTTTTTTGCTAGTTGGTTTGCGTTTTGGAATATCTGTTGTGCGTTCCGTCACACTTGGAATCACTGTCCGAGGACCTAGTGACTATATTTGTGTGTGTAGTAGTTCTCGGTGGGGTGGTTGCAATCGTAGAAGTACCGCTTAGCACAGGGCGGATTTCGCAAAGTTGGATGTTTCAACTAACTTGACTTGCGTCTTGTTTCCAGCCGTCATCGTGTGGGTATCCACTGTCCAGGCTGTTTGTATACAATGGCTGACAGTAATTCTTCGAATGCTTTATCCCAGCCACCGACGCGGCATGACGATTCTTATTCTCAGGGTGAAGCTCCTCTCGGGGCGTCAAACGCTTCATTTAAGGCCGACGAACTGCTTGTTTTCGGGGCAAAACAGGTTATTCGGTGAGTTGGTTTGTGACAATCATTTCACCTAAGTCTGAATCACCCTTGATTAAGTATCTGACCGGAACAACAGGATTAGGGCTATCATTCAGAGAAATCACCTTCGGTAAAGTTAATGTTGTAATGTTTCGCACGGAATTTCGAAATCAACTGTAAGGTAACACTATAGCCTCACGTACTCACTCACTCACTCACTCACTCACTACTCACTCACTCACTCACTCACTCACTCACTCACTCACTCACTCACTCACTCACTCACTCACTCACTCACTCACTCACTCCACTCATCACTCACTCACTCACTCACTCACTCACTCACTCACTCACTCACTCACTCACTCACTCACTCACTCACTCACTCACTCACTCACTCACTCACTCACTCACTCACTCACTCACTCACTCACTCACTCACTCACTCACTCACTCACTCACTCACTCACTCACTCACTCACTCACTCACTCACTCACTCACTCACTCACTCACTCACTCACTCACTCACTCACTCACTCACTCACTCACTCACTCACTCACTCACTCACTCACTCACTCACTCACTCACTCACTCACTCACTCACTCACTCACTCACTCACTCACTCACTCACTCACTCACTCACTCACTCACTCACTCACTCACTCACTCACTCACTCACTCACTCACTCACTCACTCACTCACTCACTCACTCACTCACTCACTCACTCACTCACTCACTCACTCACTCACTCACTCACTCACTCACTCACTCACTCACTCACTCACTCACTCACTCACTCACTCACTCACTCACTCACTCACTCACTCACTCACTCACTCACTCACTCACTCACTCACTCACTCACTCAGGTCCGGCTCTTTCACGGCGCACCTTTTGTAACGAATCGTCTTTGAAACGAAGTCCACACATGAGTGAACTTATCTCCACTTGTTCTGGTCTGTTTTAATATTATAGGTGGCGGGTATGACCTCGAAGAAAGGAACAAGGGATTTAAAGATTGAGTAGTAAAGATGGAGTGGAATGCCTTGATCACAATTTGGTAATTAATATCATCCCACCTATACAAACCTTTACAGTTGTTCACCATTCATGTTTTCCGCTTTCGTTGGTGCCGCACGTTTCATTAAACTTGTGGTCATCTTTACTGAGAGATCACTGATCATTATCCCGCTGCTTCGTCGTGAACCGATCGTGAGCGATAAAAAGGTGTAATTTTATGCGAACAATGTAGTCAGATGGTAAAAAATTTACGAAGGAGCATTTGACTCTAAACTGCTCCAAGACTGACGGCTACATCTCTGGGAACAGTGTTGAGAGCGTTCCGGGCTTAGAACTGGTCCCATGGATGCCATCTTAAAGGGGAGAATACCACACTTCAGAATTCGTAAAATCAGTTGCTTCTGTAGAGCCGTTTGGGTGCCTTATGTACTCCCTAATTGTTCTACTCGTATCTTCTGATATGCTCACGCCTCTCGTCACTTTTTGACCTGCCGGTAGCAATGGCCCGCAGGCCTGGATCTAACCTGTTTCTCAGAAGGATTTATTCGTTTTGAGGATTCTTCTTCGATTCCATGTTGCGAGTCAGGTCATTCCATATTTAAAAGCTAGGAAGAGTTTCTTTTTGGCTGTTTTCCATCCCACTTGGGCTGTGCGTCATCAGTAGATGATTCTGAATCCACTCATTTTGTAACGTCTGCGTGAGTGATCTAATTCGACTTGTCCCCCATTTACGGTATCTCTACTAGTAGATAATTTCCCGACATGCGGTGGCTCCGAAAAGACAGTCACAGTGAAACCGCTCGGAATTCCCCCGAGGCAGCAATGCAAAGAGCTGCTTGCTTGTAAGGAGGTAGATTAATGTGCTTTGTCATATTTGTACATACAGTCTTTTAGTTGGCTCTAGTGTGGAGGATGCATGTGCCACCATAAATATTCTACCCTTTTCGGCTTTTGTCCACCCAGTCTTTTCATCCCAGTCACCATCTGCATGTTCTTCGTGGTTTTGGTCGCAACTACGGTCGACTACTACGCCTCCACGGAGACTTACTTGATCTACACACCGTTTCATACACCAGACGCCGACTTGGGTACCAGAACCTGGCAGACGATTGCAAACACATTGATTTTCATGTCTGTCATCATTGTGATGACGTGCGTTCTGGTACTACTCTTCAAGTACCAGTGTTACCGGGTACGTTGTTCATTTTCATGAAACTATAAATTGTCAACTATGAATTGTCAATTGCATCGACAACTCGTCTGTGCATACTTGTCACTGATTGGACTCATATTGTTCGGACTAAAAATCCGTGTTATCAGTCAAACGAGTATGGAGGATGCATTAGTTTGTATACAATGGTCAGTTAGCCTACATACAACACCAGACTAGCGCCATTTGTTGCCATTCGTACTCACCTTCCCCAATCCATACGACCTCTTGGTTCCCTTGTCCAACCAAACTCGAGTGGTTTAGTTTGGCTGAATATCTGTTGGTTGTAAGTATGAGCATTTAGGATTTGGGCCAGCATCAACGTAGCCGAACGGTGTGTAATAGACTTATTCAAGAGCGTTTTGAAGGAATACCTTGGACGAAATGAAGTGTCTTACCACCTTAGTGCTCTTCTCAAGCGGGAAGACTCTGGCCAGAGAACGCTGTTTCCATCGTCTTAAGATTTGTTTTCGGTAGGAAACAGTGGACATCCCTTACCCTTTTGGCGTAGACGTCGTAAGGGATTTGGGGAGCTCAGCGAGCCAGATTTGTGTGGCACTTTTAAGCTTTATGCTGCGGGTTTTGGCTATAGCAGTCAGTGTATCATGTTAGTGTATTCAACTTTTCTTTCAACTTTTTCCATTCTGTTGTCGCCCTGTGAGGGGAGCGCTTCGAACCAGCTGCTTCAACTGGGACTGGCTAACTGAACTTCCTCTAAAAGGTTTTGTTTAGAGTAGATTTTTATCATTGCAAAAGCACTTCGGCATTGTTGAAAGCGCTTCAGAACATGCATGTAATTACTGTCGATGATATGAATTTCTGCGCAGGGCCTCTGAATTAGGGTTGCAAGTCTTTCATACGAGCTGGCCAGCAATTACAAGTTTCAGAGCAAATCCAGAAATTATATGAGTGTACTAATATTATTATCCTTATAACAGTATATTTCTGTACAACTTGCCATGCTCCATTGAGGGAAATCGAATATGCGTTGGTTATGAATGATAGGGCTTTTCCAACACAGTCATGCTTTTCATGAATTCCCCATTGCTTGTACAAAGTGGACTATCTTGTAAACCAACAAACTGAAGAAAAATGGATTTTGTTTACATCTTGTCAGTCTTCGGTCAAAGGGACTCTTCAAAGCTCAACAAAACCCCGGAATTAGACTGAAATGCATATCAGAATCCCGGTGGAGATGCCTGTGCGGATCCCTTTTTCCGATGAGACGACTTCTTCCGCAAAATGAAGTGACTTGTGGCTACCATAATCCCGATGGTCGCACGTTTTTTGATCATAACAAAGTGGACGGTCATCACACCCGACAATGGATGTCGGTGCGAAAACATGACTATCAGATCGAAATTGGGAGCATTTTACCGGGCAGGTTATGAGAAAATGAATTGGAGAACGACGTTAATGAGTCTCTGTGAAGTACCGCAAAATCCGCTTGATTTTCCAACCTCATGATGTAAAACGAATGTCGTATGGAATTTTAGGGATGGGCGCTCAGTGTTGGCTCATATTCAACTATGGATCCAGGACGCTTAAAATGAGTTGAAGAAGTGTTGTTAGCCTCGCACGTTCAGGAAGACAAAAGTGGAACTTCATACTTTGCGACGCTACAGATAGCTTATTCTGTCACGCAGAACAGACAATTTCATCTGGTAAAGTATGGATTCCTGTTGATGCTAAAGCCATTGAAGTCGTACAACATTCGACCTTGAAGGCTGCATGCGAGGAGCCTGGTCGTTATGTGGACTTCAATGTGTACCTTAAGGCCTTAATGGGGAAGCGGAATGGTACCCTAACCATTTTGTCCGCTTATGTTGTAGGGCTCTTTTGACGATGGCATATGTAAAGGGAATATTCATCTGGGATTACTTTCAATGTTCATAATCCCATACTATTACACTTGAGTCGACAGCTAAAAGCTTCTTTCTTATTTTCTTTTCAGTTTATTCACGGTTGGCTAATCCTGACAACTTTCATGCTTTTGTTTTTAATATCCTTCCTCTTCTTCACGTAAGTCGGTAACAATTGTTTTTACACCCAAAAATGTTGACTTGTTGTTTTGCGCACATTATCCAGCAGATTACTTGTGCGCTCGATGTCATTTAGTAACCATTTAGTTAAAGCGTTCAGCTGTAACATCATTTCGGTGCATAGTTTCCACATCACCTGAAGAGACTACAAAAACTGAGATACTGCTACGTTGCATGAGAGAACTATAGATGCCGAGGTTGGGTTCGGACCACGGATCTTCCAATCAGCATGTTCACATCCTAACCACTGAGCTGTCAATTAGTCACTTAATCAGGTAGTCAGTAATTGAGCTGCTGCCAGTTGTTTTTGACATTCGGTTCTTGTACTTTTCCGCAGCATGAGGCTAATTCGCTCACAAACCTTGCTGTTGGGGCGTCCCGTTTCGGTTTTCATGCTTACTCACTACAAAGTCCTAAGGCCAAGATGAGCCTTCATGGGGTCTCTCAAGCAAGGGGGAGATTGCACACATAGTCCTAACCAATGGGAGGCACCTGTATACGATCTTAAGGGAATTAGCCTTTCTTGGATCAGAGTTTATCTAATTGTCTGCCAATCTGGAACAGACTTTACATAGGTTACTGGACAGTTTAGCATGGTGATTTTTTTTGCAGTCGCAATACAGATCGAAGTTATGGTTGGAAAATAGGGTGAAGCACATTTTGTTAATGTACTAGTACATCTCATTTCCATAAAACTAAAAAGCAGTGTCACCGTTTGGCACAATCCAATGGAAATATTCACAAACGACGGAGTCCACGTTAAATCAGAACGCAGGACGTCTCCCGTCCAGAAAAGATGCACTTTAGTCGTGGAGGTGGTGGAGATGCGTGCCTTACCGATAACTACTAATACTGATAAAGGTATTATTTACTCTATTCTTATCCTAACCCAATAAATCGCGCATTAAGACAGCTACTCTCTCGTGAACATGTAACATCAGTTGTCACTTGCTGCAGCTTCTCCGCCCGACACCCATGTCGTTCAGCTAAGTCGGATTACTTAAGGACCCGGTTACGGAGTGAGTATCCGATTCGAATCGAAGCGTTAAGTGTGATGAATTGTCGGAGCTCAATAAAATGAATTAGTCCATTTAGGTTGGGAATGGTTTAGTGGCCGCTTATTTATCCACTGGTTCTCGCAATGAAATTGCTTCCTTGCCTCTTGGCTACTCGTTCAATACTAGTAGTGTGAGTGCGTTGTATAAGTGCAAAAAGCTGAGGCCGTCGGTTTTCGCAGCGCTTAGCCGTATGAACGCTTAGATTCTTATTTCGACTTATCAGGTGGACTTAGGAGGGTTGAACAAGAGAAATCTCGGGGGAGTTAATCCGAGACCAGTTTGTGGAGCCGGCAGATTGGATTTTTAGTGTGGTTCTTCATCTGATGAGCCGTTGACTTATCCCGAGAATTCGACTACGGGTGAGTAATCAGCATGGTTCGCTTTATCAGTCGATGCTTGCGGCGGACCTGATAATTACTAGTCTATGAATGTTCCTGAAGAACTAATCGGACAGAATGTGCCGACTACTCACCAATAATCGTTTGGTTCTCTGAAAGAGTCGGCAGCTAGCTGGGCAAAGTAGCACGCCTAAAAATCGTGAAAACCACTGCAACTGTATCCTTCAAGCCACAAGTTTTCATTGATTCCTTTTTGAGACCCATACAAATGGTCGAACGTAGGGATCCCATTCCTAGTCTTTTATTGGGAAAGCGAACCCATACAGTGGAACTTGCAAGTAGGTAGCTGTTTGTATGCTCTTTGGGTGAAGTTCAAGGCGGTCTCTGCGCTCACCAATGATTCCCGAAATCCAATCTACTGACAGTGTCGGATATCCGTTACCGTGGGATGGTTTGTCTGTTTTCATGGCCTATTGATTTATGCTGGAGATATGGCTAGGTGCTTCCATTTATCTTTCAGCTTTCGCGTGCTGCGTTGCAACTCACCTGGACCTGTCATCTAGCACGTGTGTGAAAAGTCGCATGGTATTTAAAATTAGATGTTTGGCAGCAGAGTAATTGAAAAATCGTTGACCATTTGTCGTCAGACGTGTTTCTCTCTCTCTTTCGGTATGGATGTTTGGTCGCCATCTTGGCTTCCAACCCAGGAATCGAGGCGAATCAGCGTCATCGACTAACTGTCTCGAATTACCTTTCAACTTCTGTTAGCAAGCGTGAATAACGCTCGGTGGGGTGTCCGACTTTCTCGTACGCAAAACTTGCCAGCTTGAAGAAGGGGAAACTCTAGCCTGTCCAGATAGATGGATAACTGTAGCTGAAATGGAGTCGAGCGAAGACAGTTCTGATTAAGTTTCTGTTCCCTAGGGCTTCATGTGACCCACTTATGGGTGGCGTTTTAGTGTTCAACTCCGGTCTTGATTTTGACGTTTTGTTAGCGATTACTTTATCCACTATCTGCAATTTGGTCTGAAAAGAGACAAGTCAGATTGCTTTCTTGGTCTATTCATAACCTTGAAATGTTCGCTAACGTCTACGACCTAAGTGGTTGCGTTCAGCATAGACCGTTGTTCATTTTCATCACCCATACCAACTTCTCACCTTTTCAGAGAGATTATCCGTGCAATGGGGATTTTTGTTGACTACATTACGATGGCTTTCATTCTGTGGAACTTCGGTGTGGTCGGGATGGTAGTGATTCACTGGAGAGGACCTTTGGTCTTACAGCAAGCATATCTGATTTTCATATCTGCTCAAATTGCACTGATGTTTCTGAAATATCTACCCAAGTGGACTTGTTGGGTTCTTTTGGGGGCACTGGCAGTTTGGGGTGAGTAGACTTTTTACTCCTTTTTTATACTCCCAAACTCACAGACTTAACCATTCCAGTCAGTTAGGTCATTTTTTCAACACAGTGGGGTCTCGCCCTCAGCTATCACTTACAATGATAAAGTGAGCTGCATCCGCTCGCGTTGTCTAATTTTTTTTACTCGCTGGCTTGCTACACTGGTTCGAGATGCCTTCCGTATATACTGACCGAGTGAATTTCCCATTGCTTTGTCCCTTGAATCTCCATGAATCACAGGGACATCTGCACGGTTCCACTAAGCCAAAGAAAGCCATCGAGTAGGGGCGCTGCATCTCTACCTGGTTGACGTTTATGGTTTACACCACTAGAACACGTAACCGAGCCGCCGTGGCGTCCGGCACTGGACACACTCTTCAATAGCCTCATGTGCACACCCTTTGGGATTTGGCAAAGGTCGCTTTCTTCAGAGAATGTTCCAAATTGACTAAAGATCCCAGCCCCACCATTTCGTTTACCGAATTCATCTATTGTATAATGGCCTGGACCAATACGAATTCCAAAATTCCTAAAAAACCTCATGACGCCTTACACAGTGTGAGTGTAAGGTTCATGCCAAAGGACGAGGCTATTTCATCGGTTCATTCACAAAGGCCTGTCTTTTCTTCGCCTAAGACGAAAACAATTTCGTTTTCATATAATAGTTTGAGCATCACTTTCTGTAGAAGAAGTTTGCAGAGCCCCATTGCACTTGCATGGGAACAAGTGGGAGAATACAAGATGCTTTTTATTGAGAAAGCTAGTGAAGTAATATAAACCAGTCCACAGGGTTAAGGTCATCTCGGATATCCAGGAGTGTTTATGCGTGATTGAGTGTGAATACATACTCAAAAAGACCTCTTCCAGACGGAAGTTGCTATTACTGTTCTTTAACTAACACTCATAAGGAAGGACAAGTTAGGCTGAGAGTCCTGCTACAACAGGAGTCAAGCTGGCCCCCTGTTCTTCTTTAGTCCGGTTATATGGTTCAGTCCCCTCCCGTTCAGGGGAAATTGGATGGGACTATTTCCATTCTTGAACAGGCCAGTCGGTCCCGCTAGAGATAAGATATTCACTCGTAAATTTCCGGGATGAGTGTCTATGGTTCTGATGAAGTTCGAGAGTCTGACTGCTTAGCAGTGGCTGACTATGATGTTGTGCCTTATGAGCGGTAGTACAACTCCTGTGTCGGTCCGTTCCGCCCACTATGGTAAATCAAAAGGTCTTCTATGGAAACGAAAGAAAATTATTGCAACCGTATGGGGTTGCCACAAGGATCCGCGAAAATCTTAGTGAGGGGGTGAGAAGCATTGACCTATAAGTGATAGTCCCAATCGTGCGACATTCTGACCATGGCTTCGTTTGGTTCGTATCCCGCACGTGACACATCCACCTAGTCAATGGGATGTTCAGTTATTCAGACTGGCAGGCCTCAGGACACCTGACCCTTGACGCTATTCGTCCTCAGAGGGTTCTGGTCGTGCTTTCCACTTCAGGGTTATGTTACGGTTGATTGTTGTTCTATGCGGCGTGGTTCCATTTTGGAGCTACAATGTGCTACTTGATGGACTCTTTCCTGAAATCTGACTTCTGCTGCCTGATTGACTTGGTATTCGACCCTGCCTCCACCGTGGACAACGTTCACCACATCCTCGAATCAGCACGTGGCCTTCTTGAACTGCTGTGGTGTATCTTCTGCCTGCCCCTCTCTCGTGACATTCTGGACAGCGGTGGAACACTTAGTATGTTCTACTGATGGCCTTCCAATTGCTTTACGGGTTACTTTTGAAGTCAGAGTGATGTCAGAATCTGTGTCACGCTCGAGAGTAATTGGTGCGCCGGGTGATTCGATCCTGGATTTTCTGGTCACGCTCGCTGAGTACGTTCTTTTTCCGTTTTCGTGAGCTCCTGAAGTCGAACCTGCAGCATTCTTTGTGGCCGTTTTGCGCTTGCCTTACCTGTGGTTCCGGTAGGCACAATGGTGTGGAAAGTTTCATTCATCATTGAACCAACAGGGTGTGGCGGATTTCTCTCGGGTCCGTTTGACTTTTGGAAATTACTTTGCACACCTTGTTGAGCCGAGAGGTCTGGTGATGTTCAATCATTACAGTATCAGCCTTGGAATTGATGAGATTCTGGGATTTGGTAGTAAGTTTCAGAATCGTCAACTTTGAATCCCGTTTAATTTGATTCAATAGTTGGATCCGTATATCTGCATCATGTGGCGATTGAAAACCAGTCAAGAAGACGAGACACTTGGTTTGCTTGTCGGTCATGTTGCTGAGCTTGAACGCTCGCATTCTTTGACTACACTGGCATACGTGATGAAAAAAATCGTTCGGCTGTAGCACCCTTTCGGTGCCTAAATGCCATGCTACCCGAAGGTTGCATGAGGGCTGGGATACTGTTCGGTTGCCCAAGCCTAGACGGGAAGTCGAGTGGCAGAGGTCGGGTTCGAACCACGGACCTTCCGGTCAGTAAATTCGCGCTCTAACCACTTGGACCATCTGGAACGCTCAATCTTCATGAAACTGTTGGTGGGTGACCCTTACATGGAAGCCCTGTTTGTATGATGTCCAATTTGAATGGACTTTCGTTTATGCTTAGCTTACTGTGGTGTTACTTTGATATTTTACGTCACACTCCTTCGCTTCCTATTCCAGTTACTTCGTTATTTTCTGACAAATCAGTATAGTAGGGTTTTTTTTTACAATTTTATGTGTGTGAGCTAGTCTCATCCGGTTCTTCTTCACACTGTACTTACGTTTTCGCCAAGTATTATTAGTACACGAAATGTCTTGCTTGTACAGCGAGACACATTTTATTTGGCGTTAGCTTAGTGTGACTGGTCTGTTAAAGGGATTCTTAGGGATAGGAGCTCATTTCTGTTTCTTCATGAGTTTGAAGGATGTGCTGATCTTCCACTGCTTCAGTCGCAACATCCCGGCTTTCTTACCGAAATCACTAGATCTCTTATGTGGATAAATGAAGTAGGCGTAATGGGGGGTCAGTTTTACTTGTAACAAGGATTCCATAAGCTAAACCCGCTCTGCTAGTGTGTCTTTTCCGTCCCTCTCGTCTGATTACGCAGTGGTTCCTCATGTTCTTCACCAATCCCACTCTGTTCCACCTAACTCTCACCCTTTTTACTTTCAGACCTAGTGGCCGTCCTCTGTCCCCGAGGTCCTCTTCGTATGCTGGTTGAAATGGCACACGAGAGGGAACAACCACTATTCCCGGCTCTCCTCTATTCAACCACTGCTGTGTATCTCATCACCGCGTCGACCGGTGCTAATGGTAAATAACCTTGTTTCACTGTGTATAGCTGTGGATAATAGTCGCACATCCGCACTCTTGCTAAATTTCACTTCTTCCATCAGGTCCGCCAGTAGTCCATCTCTCTGGTTCGCCATTATTAGCAAAGATTGGACATGGGGTTCTGTGGGTGTAGGAAGACTACACCATTACCCATTATCGATCGGAAAGGAAAAGACTAATAGACAATTTTTATACCGTGTGAAATTTAATGTCTACTGCCATTTAGCATATATTTAATGTCGTTCAAAGTTTCAGTTCTCAAAGTAGCGCTTGAGGTAGCCTGTGTCCTTTCCTGTCAATTTGTTGAACGTGCTTTTGCCATTGACAATATTGTTTTTTTCCAGTAGATGAATGAACCATCCAAAAGTACCGTAACGGTGACACTGTCCTGATTGAATTAGAATTCAACACTGTATCTACTTTGTTTAGCCTTCGGACATATCTTAGTGAGTTGTGGTTTTCACCGTTGCCCATTCTCGATGCTTATCGTGCGTACTTTGACAAGACCCACCTCAATGACGTTCTAGTTCAGTTGTTCTTTTTCCTTCACCTGACTCAGGTAATTTCGATACAGTCTTGCATACCTCCGGTTTGTTTTGAATGTTTCCTAATTTGATAGACTTGCTTGCGTTACTTCTCCTTGGAATCGGAACATTGTTTCGGTTACGCACTTAGTTTGCATTACGAATAATCGATCGAACGATAAGACTGAGAACGGATGCTAACGCGGAATGACCAATAGATACTTAGATCTTGTTACCTGTGACAAATTGACCCTCCTAATGCCTTAGCATAGTTGGGGGTGGTTGTCTTGGGAAACGAGTACTGATGAGTACTGATGAAATACTACCAAATGTTTTATTATCACATAGCCTCTTTGGGGAAGCCTTATTGACCGTCTTCTTGTGTCGGAGATGTTTGCTCTAAAGTGAAAAAGCGAAGGCGGACGTTTTCGCCATACTATCGCTGATGGTCTACGGGTTGTCTGTCTTGGATGGTCGGTTGAACGCTGATTTCAAACGGACAACGATGAGTGTGTGGTAGCATCGATGATCCCATTCGATAGATCTCCACGTGCTGCTATCTCGCAGATCGCACTTGGTTGTTCAGATGTTAGAGACCCACTCTCGGACAAGAGTTGGCTGGCGCTGGTGATACAATCCGTAACAAACTACCAAGAAAACTCATGACTTTCCTCTGATTACTTGTTATCCTTATTCCATGACATTCGAAGTTGGCGACACACCTTTGACTGTCTCACTGGCTGAGGTCACCAGAAATAAGCCGAAGGACTCTATCTTGTGAAACTTGTATATATCGGGTGTTCGAATGTAAGGACCTTCTTGTGTTTAGGGAGCCGTCCGATTGCTGTGCTTATCCTTCAAGACTAGAAGACCAGCAGAACGTTGATGGTAAACACCACCGGTAAGATTACTGAAAACTTTAACAGTCCACGACTGGTGTCGGATTTTGGAGGGCTCTTCTGGCAGGCAGTCTCCGGGTTTCCGTCAACCTATGCGAAACTGTTTTCCCTTCCGCGACGAGTCTCCGGAAAGCGTTTACCTGCTCACTCCTCTGTACATACGGCATCTCGCGAAATCATTCTTGTCACCAGCCGAGACTTCTCCGATGGACAGGGTGTTTCAAAAAAGCCTCCCGCTTGCATGTGTATCCACTCGAGTCTTCTTCAACTGCTGATTCCCCAGATGATCGTACGATGCCAGCTGTGGCCCTTCAACAAAAGAAGGGATAAGCACGCTAATCGCCTGGTTGGAAAGCCGTCAAGTCTAGAGTAAAGATGGCATCCCTGTAGAGGTACGGTGCTTCGCAAGAATAAACTACGGGTATGTTAACCCAGTGTCCGAAGAACTAATCTGAGTGTATTAAAAGCTGCGAGTGTACAGAAAGGAGTAAACTAGCGGACTGAAACGTCTCCGTACGAAACTAAGGCGGTCGTTTCACTACTTCCATACCATAGGTAGCATAGAAAGGGAAAATCCCCATAAAATCTTACAGGCCTCATTAGTTGTTACTCGAATTACCAGACCGCAACAGGTCACGTGATGTGGATGTGTGCTTGTAAGTCTGTCTGGTATCGCATCCCGTCTGGGTGTGAGTTAAATATGAACGTGTGGCGAAATTTTCCGCTGTGTTTGCACCCAAAGTGTCTGTTTAAATACAGTCTGAATAAATCCCGACACCAGAGTGTAGTAAAGTAATGGCATGAATTGCAGTTGACGTAGCACGATCCGTGTTTCGACAATCGATACTGATCGCTTCTTAGTTGGCGGAAACTGAGCTACAAATAGCGTATCAAATGTTGGAAAGTTTTTCCAACACAAATGCTAACTTCGTCTAGATCTCGGAAAGGACACAAATCGTATGTCGGATAGGTAAACAAGGAGACCTGGAATTTTTTCACTAATTCACCTGGTGAACAACTAACGTACTTGTCTATCTACTGTAAGCTATTCTTTCGAAGTAGCAACGTTTTAAGTTATCATGGGTGTCCGCAATACATAGAAACCTGAATGCGCTATGTGAAATTATCATCAATAGCATTTACTCCAGATGAGGCCTGTTCGTGCTGGAATCCTTTACTACTCTCTATTCCTTATATTTATACGTTTTCTTATCCAAAATATTACTGACCTGATGCACACAAAAAGTTGGTTATCAACCAGAGTTGTGGTTTCGTTAGCACTATAGTTATCAGCTTTGAAAGTTTAGTAAAAAGTTTTGCAACTTACTGAAATATCTTGAACGACAGGATAAATATAAACGAATAAGTTTTGTTCTGTTTCGAGCTAATTTCTTTCTCTGGTCAACGCGGATGTATCTCATTAATCCATGGAAACGCTCTCACGGAGTTGTTTCGCCGAAGTTTCTGTTCCCATGAAATTTTAGGAAGTGATTGATCGTTTACAGTACGGAGTCATGAGTCGTTTAACAGGACAGACGTGGGGTATTCCATTATATTGCGATTGATCGACCACTCTCATGCATCAAACATGGGCATTGTACGTTTGGCCATCCTAGTTGACACTTATTCCCAAATGTTCAGATTGCAGCATAGAACAGTTGGTTTGAAATGAAAACAGTGGAGAGTTCGTTCTCCCAATGAAGCCAATCAGTGCCGAAAAAGCGAGACGTCATATACAGCTGTCTCATCCTTGTTGGGGATTATCAGTAGTGTGCATCTCATGCAACTCAAGCGAGTCTTGAATTCGCGACTTCCCGGTTGATAGTTTGGAGACTTAACCATCCGACCACGAGTGGCTGATCCGATGTGTGACTAACTCACGCCTAGACAGAATATAGCACCACTTATCTTTCGGTCACGAGATTCACGTCAGTGATGTGGACGAAATCTCCATAAAAATTTCAAAATTCTACACTAATAGCAAAGTGAAAACACCATCACTATCACATTTTCTACGGTGCGAGGGCATGACCGCCCCGTTCACTCGGTTTCCCCCTGTTTTACTTGAAGTCTTTTGTTCAAACACCTGTCCAACGATTGCTTTCTGTAATTAACGGGGGAAACAGTCAATGTGGGAAACATTATAGGGTTTGTAGCGAATTTACCCCCCTTCCCAGCTACGATAGCAACAGGCCACTGCGTCTGTGTCTGGAGCCATGAGGTGTTCTGTCCCAATGCCCCTTGTGTCCCGGCATTGTACAAGAACACGGGATAGCAACAGCCACTGCGTCTGTGTCTGGAGCCATGAGGTGTTCTGTCCCAATGCCCCTTGTGTCCCGGCATTGTACAAGAACACGGGCTTAGTCTGAAATCTTACACAGTACAATTCAGAATTAAGAGAACATATACGCTGTAGCAAACCAACCAATGGGCTCATGTAAGCGAAATTTGAGGACTGAGCATCACTGGGAGAGTGCCTTGACCGAATAGGCGTATATCTTGGGAAATGTTTGGAACCTATCGGGAGATGTCGTTTAAGAAAGACCGGGTAAACCATCGGTTAATCTAATAGGTATTCATACTTTATCCGCAGTTAACTTTGAAATTTTCGAATGACGTAATTGAGACCTATATTATTAGCTGCACTGTTAGCTGGATGATAGATTACTCAAATTCCTGTCCACAGCCTTGCAGATTTGAATCTCTCGGACGTTATGAAGTGCACATCGAGGATGATTGCGAATAGAAATTGAATTTCTGGTTCAATGGTTTTCAATTTTTAAGTGGAGAGTTGTGCTGCTCTTAATGGTCTTAATGCTCTTAATAAAAAAACGCCTATTGGACTGAGAAGGTTGTGAGGGTGCTGATGCAGATAAAATCCACTGCTGCTGTAGACTTGGATCATTTCACGGTACCGAACGGTCAGTCTTTCATAGTTATGATGAGCGGTTAGTGTGAAGTACACAGTCGGTTATTACACGGCAGGAACCTAAACACTAACTGAAAACATACGAAGTATTCTATGGAAAACACCGAACGTCTCCCGGGGGATTGATGTTCATTAACTCAATCATCGCACACCTATTATTTATATCCAGGCAGAATGTTCACCATGGCTAGTTGTACATACACGACTGGCCCTTACTGAATCAGTCGCTTTTCTCATTTCATCGAGGCGTGGTTTTCTGTGTACAGATTTCTTTTCACTAGTACCAAGGGTAGCGGATTCATAGCTGTCCACTAAATTTTTGATACTTTTCTGTTTGAACCCCTTCAAGCCAACGGCTCTGAAGCAGAGGGCTCAGATTCCACTGCCGAAGTACCTTTGATGTCCGAATATCGTCATTCCACCGGAGGTCAGGTGAGATAATTACCACCATGGGTGTCATGCTGCTTATGATTTACTTTTGAGCATGAATAAACATAAACTTTCGGACCTTTGGTATCGTGACGCTGCTATACCGCAGCCTATCTCACGCAGGTTGTTTTCTGTAGATCACCACAACTGTAGCTTACTGCAGTGATTTGTTCGAGTACATAAACACTCAAACCGTTTCGATCTGCTCTTTACTATCTCCTATTTTCATTGGTATTTTGGTATTCCATCCTCATAATGACTTCCTGAGTACTATGGATGACCATATGATGCGGATACTGAGTGGGTTAGTACATGATACAAGAAGCACTATGCTTTAGTTTATCAGCTGGCCTTGATTTTGCCAGAGGTAGTCTTCTCAGCCATTTGAAATTTACTCGCGCATTCACCTAATTGTAGCCCTTCGGCACCAAATAGCTACGGAGGCGCAACGTTGGACACAGTATGTTTCTTCAGTAGAGATGCAACTTGAAGGCCCACCCTTAGATGACTAGGGTGGTTGTGATGTTTGTGCATCACAGGGTGGAACAGCGTATGCATCATAACTCATGTATTTGCTACCTCTAGTCACACTTTAGCGTCTAAAGATCAATGCAGGCCCGAAAACGCTATTCAACTTCTAACGGATGAATGGTACCTCCAACAGACAATCTACTTCATTAAAAAAAACTTTTAAACGACCCTATTGTAATTTACATGTGTACTAGCCACCATGTCGCGACACTGCGATTTGCAAATAACTGTCGCGAATAAATTAGCGATACTAGTGGTAAAATTACCAAGGTTGTGCCGTCAAGCCTTTTGATATTCTCTTCTACTTTACCGCTGATTGGCTGTCTTTTCGTATGGTTTTTGAAGCAAAATTCAAGTGATTTACCGTCCACCAACGTCACAACTTCCGAACAGCTGCGTGAGCGGCATTTGAGGCGAATGACGGAGCCCATCGCTGAGCACAGTGGGAACTCGACTGACGCAGCTAGCAGATGGCGGCAAATTCACGTGAGTTGGTGGTAAACATCGATTCAAAGATGATATTTATGCTAGATTTTGGATTTTATTCCAATCCTACTACCGTCCCTCTAAATTTTCTTGACGAATATGTCCTGTCCTTGTTTGATTTTAAAACATATTTTGATGTGAGGAAGTGATGGGGATAGGATAATGAAAAAAACAAGGAAGCGAAGGCGAAAAATCGAGTTCAACCGATACGATTCGTAACCATTATGGAGTTACTCGAGTGAGCGTAGTTGAATTATTGATGATAACCCAAACTCAATATCATTAGCTTTTTATCCAGGAAAACTGTTGGGTGATGCCATTTGTTTATCGGTCTTCCAATCTGCTTCTGCCTTATTCGGTCAGTTTTTATGGCCTTAAACGTATCGTATTTTGAAGGAGAACCGTCGGTCTCGTTAATATTTGTATTTGGCGGTTGTTTGTCGTGAATATTTCCAGTGTCACTTCTGATTACCTTCTAATTCGATACTGAACCCACATTTAATTCGAACCTCCTCTAGCTAATGTATGGCTTGGTATCTCCACTCGCGGCTCGTAGAGAGAGAGAGAGACGTTCAGCTGTAGCACCCTAGCTGCCATGGCACCCGAAGAAAGCACGAGGGCTGGGATACTGCCAGGTTGCTCAAGCCTAGACAAAGGAAGTCGAGGGGCAGAGGTCGGGTTCGAACCACGGACCTTCCAGTCAGTAAATTCGCGCTCTAACCACTTGGGCCACCTCGTCCATCTCGCTTCTAATCAATGTTAATGGCGTTCTTGTTGCCAGTTTCCAACCAGATTATTTGAATGAGTGTCTGGAGGTGTAGGCACAATAAACCATTCGAATAAGTCATGGTTGTGCAGCACTGAAGCATCCGTGTTGAACACTGGTGCCATGCTGTCGATTGTGATGATGATGATGACACAGTACAGCTCTGTCATCCTTGGAACTCATCATCAGTGCACATCTCACGAAACTCAGAGTTTCAAACCCGCTATCAATGGTTAGACCCTAAATTGGCAAAGATTCTCCTGACGTACCTAACGCAGAGCTGCATTGGTCGATGCATGCGGACTGAGTTGTCAGTTTAACAGTTTATAAACAGCAGTTTATAAAAGGCTACTTAATATAGTGCTCTCACTACATGTAAGTCCCTTCGGGGACGTCAACTTTTCTCGTCTGTAATTAGTATTCATGCCCTTCTCTAGTAAAACAGTGGAGTTTGCACCGTAACCGTGAACATTTTCCCCTCTGTTGTTAATGTCACACTACCCTCACAAGTGAAGGAATGCGTTATGGCTTTTTCAAATTTCCCAATGGTTCCTTAATTGATACTGCCAGCGGAAATGTTGGCATTCGGGATAGGTAGTTTATTTTGACTGGTCGGAATGTAGCGACTAGGTTTAGGTAGTGACCGGACGCAAACCCGCACGTAAAGGAGCAAAAAAACCAGACAAATAGTGACGGCGACAAATGACATGCTTAATACGGCATGCGCAGCAACACACCTAGGTCTGTACATAGCGTTTTTGTTATTCGCAGACTGTATGTGAACTCACGTAAAACGCTCCACCGCATGTTAACCAGTTAGCGACTAAGTTCACTTTCGTGTGTTTTGTGCCACAGACGAGTTTGTCGTATATTGTACTCCATATTCGTTTCATGCGGAGGTGACCGAAAAATGGGGACTCATGTGTATCCTTCACCCAACCTAACCTTCACCCAAGCAAGCAAGGCGATATTAAAGCAAATTCGTCGGATTCACAGCTAATTGGTGCATCCACTGCATTGAGGGAACGCGGGTTAATTTCTGAGCATTTCGTTCATGAGGTCAGTCAACTCATACTGAGACTTTCTGGAAAATCGGCTCAATACTTGTATGGCCCCTCATCATAGGGTCCTATTCTAGGGAGATGTCCGTGCTGGTTAAGGGATTCGTGCATATACGTGAATCTGACCAGAAACAACTGCACCGCGTGGCTTGTGACTAAGTTGTGATTACTGTCCTATGCACCATTGGTTCTTTTCGGTCTCCTGTTTTGTCTGCGTAATGATCATTAGGATTGCTGTCAGCAGCAATTTCATTCCACTGCCCCCTTTTCTCACTTCAGTTAGACCTGCGTGACAGAGAAGAACGAGGAGTCAAGCTAGGTCTGGGCGACTTTGTCTTCTACAGCTTGCTAATTGGTCGAGCCGCATTGGACGGGGATGTCATAACAGTTGCAACCTGTTACGTGGCTATTCTGGTAGGAATGTGTGTGACTATCATCGTCCTGGGTATCACCAGACGAGCCCTCCCTGCATTACCGGTTTCAGTGGCTTGTGGTATCCTTTTCTATTTTGTCACTTCAACTGTTATTTCACCATTCCTTCAGGTGGTCGCAGTTGGACGACTGGTTTTCTAGTATCTTGTGCGTCTAATGCAATGGCTTTTAGAAATGCATTCTTCAGAGTTGACTTTCTTACCAATGTGACTTGATATATCTTTTTAGGGATAATTTCGACACTTTATGATTGTAAATTATCACCATTTCTCGCCACTGTTTCATGCTCCACGTATAAACACGTTCATTCCACCTTCTAGTTTTATTTTATGTTGATACGAGAAGGATTATCCCAGAATCTCCGTGGGGTTAGGTGATGAGGCAGCAAAGAACTGTTTGAGGGGGCATCGCTTAACAGGTACAAATCGCAAATGCCACATAATACGGTCCCAGCCACGCATTTACTCTGTCCTTGGCAAGCTAAATGTTGTGGAAACTGGGGATTTATAGGCGTGAGTATTGTGGTAGCAGTCCCTTACAAGGTTTAGCCTCCTTGTGGTAGATTAGAGGTATGTGTAAAATTTGGTCTCCTTGGTGGCACCACTCACGGACCAGTTTCACGTTGCTGCATTTATTGAAGTTCTACTGCGTCATTATAATCAGTTGTACCTTTAGACTAGACACCATGGGAGCATTGTGTAACCGAATCTCTGCTGTCGATGTTGAATATGCGTCGGAGGACCGCTGGAATTTCATTGTTAACAAAACATTGGGCTCTCCTTTACTATGTTCGGCCTTAATGGGTCATGTGTGATTGTGAAGTTACATGGGTGATACTTAGCTAAATCTCTGAAGGCTTGCTAGACCATCCACAGGTGTACAAACACTGTAAAACTTTTGGCGTTCATCTGGCTTGATGGTGAGTAAGGGAGAATATTGCTTAACCGTGTCGTGGACCAATTAGTGTGGGGTTCAAGTGTTGGATGGATTTTCTTCCTGGTGGATTACAGAGTGTGCTGTGCTCTGCGCTCAATGCAAATTTTGGGGTTGACGTTGAAACTGGCTAACCGGCGAACTAAACGGCTTTATGAGCAAAGGTGAATCCTATTCTGCATTACGTTCTTCGACTACAACGGGTCTCGATGAAGTTGTAACTGTACCTAGTAGGACTCAACACTGGTCAGTGATAAATGCACTCGTCTAGAGACTACAGCGTAGCCAAACTAAGCAATGGTTTTAACTTATTTGCCCCAGATCTTTTAGCTTTCTTAGCTTCTCCCGGCGGTGCATCGATTTCATAGGTTTGTGTAGGAACAAGTCCACTGTTCGATCGCTCTCGCATGTCGGTAAAGTCGTGAAATAATCTGTTTACCATACTGGCTTTATAACCATTACAAGTAAACCTTCTGGAGCTACAGTAGCCGCGGAATTTTTCTGCCACCGTTCGATTATTCTGGTTGACGACAGCGAAAGCAAACCCTCGAGGACATAATCTTGTTTGGTAAGATTAACTGAATAGTGATGGAAAAGCAATTCTTGGAAGCATATCGATGCATAGGTGTTCACATTGCTCGTCTTGGGTCTGGTATAGGTGAATTACCCTGAATTGACCAGTCAATGAACTATGTGGGCCTCGGTACGTCTCGGTTGGGTGGGAGGGTTTGTTTGAGAAGGTTGAACTCATTAGATGTGGTAGAGTTTGTTCGTGAGCCTCAAATGTAAATAAAATCAAACATCAACTGCTCTAACCTTGGCCTGTTTCTGACCGTGTAGGATAATCCGCTGGCGGCCGCGCGTTAAGTGATCAGGCTGTCCGGTTATTCGGGTGAACTGCATCTAACCTGCTCCACTCCAGAGAAACGCGACTTTGCCTCTTTTTGTTAACACTTTCACCACGAATGTACCCCCGGTCATACTTGCATTGCGCTTTCTTGTGGTGCGGGTTGCGATTGGTCTTTGTACGAACCTGATCACGCCTGTTCAGGCACAGTAATTCAGGTGTTGAGGTTCCCGATACGGAACTTTGAGTGACGCGTAGGTTCGGCAATCCCGAATATCAAAAGGAAGAATTGGGTTCGTAATTCTACGGTGCTATTTACACTAGGGTAAGCAAATGTGTACAACAAACCTCAATTATTCGCGTTTGTAGTGTCAATAAGTTCACAGGTCTGTCACTGACCGGCACAGTACAGTGTGATCCTTGGCGCACCAAACAGCGGCGAGCGGAATAATGGCTCAGTAGCGTGGGTTGCGGTCGTTCCTTCCGACGACGGTCTTGTGATTCTCACTGGAAGTGCGATAACACGGAACTCATTAGAAAACAAGTCAAGGCAGGCTCAGCAAACGGAACATGAGAACGCACATGTAAGTAGGTCAGCAGTGCGCATTCACACACAGACACATGTCAATACACAAGTGTCGGAAAGGATGGCCTCTGCGGCAAGGTGAGTGGCGGGTACGAATAAGCAACAACATAGGAGGAGTAGGCCAAGAAATGGGGGAATTATCATAAGGTCAAGTTAGATTCAACATCAGGTGCGTGTTGCGTGTGTCAGTGAAGCATTCTAAGCACGCTCGCCTTGCGTTTCCGATGGCCGAAGTTCAAACTCCAGCGCGATCAATTATATGTATTGAGGATGAGAGTGAAATGCGAGTCGAGTGCTTCCCCGCTCTGGTGTGGACTTATCAGAACGATTTACACCGAGGCAGCAGTGGGACTTTTCAAGCCTGATTGATTCGAATGTGAGTCCTACAAATCCCGTAACCACTTGTAACAAATCGAAAGATAATTCAAACACATTCTTAAAACTAGCGATGGTTCAATAGGCAACTTTGCATGCTCGCATTTGTTAGATAGCATACCCTAATGACGATGGCGTAATGAGCGTAAAATTGTCCCACAACATGAGACAAATTACTATTATTTTGCACTATCTTACTTGGATATTTCCACCAGTTTAAGGTTGGAGCGGCGCAGACCTCGTGTGTCATGTTCGCATTCCTGAGAAAGACAGAAGCATGCCCGATTTTCACCAAGACTGTGCGTTTCGAATACCTGTCACTAGCATATGAAAGTTTACCTCACCTGGTGAGGAAACGAGATGTTGCATGTGTTGCGATGTGTATCTCCATCTGCTGCCATAAAACCGTTAGGTTTTGGGAGGGACAAAATAACTGGAATGGAATGTGGCAAGAAAACTGACATCCCATAAGGAATCACACTTTTGTCAGTGACCATTTTGAAATGGGGTAACATGGTCTCGTGGGGCTTCCATCGTCGGTCATTTTGTTAATGAATCTGTATGGCTGCTTTGACAAGATTTACAGCTCACCGGCACGCATAAGTTCACAGTCGGATTTACTCTGAAGATATGAGTGCTTATCTTTAGTTATGAAGATGATGAATTAAAAGCCTGGGGCTTCCGTGCACATACCAGAATAAGATTGGTTGAGATGTAACGGTACTCCCAAACTGATGACAACACCTGGTAATGTAGAATTTACGCTAGTGGGACAAATGACTGATACCACGTCGGTGTAAAGGGTCTTCTGATCTGAAACAGGACATCTCGTTTTTGCTGAGGCAAAAATCAAAATGAAATATAGTTGGTCCTTTATTATTCAGAAGCAACTGTCTGCGAGGATGATTGTAGCGCTTTTTCTAATGAACATCTGGAAATTGTCATTTTTGAGGAAGAAATGGAGTGAAATAGTGGACACCACTGTAATTTGTATTGACCAGCCGGACGGTTCAATAAACCATCCAGAAACAGGTCTTCGGTGCATCCTGACTGATCGGTTGATTTATAACACCCCAGGATTCAATGTAGCCTGAATTTCACCGACTTTGGGGGCATGACAAATTCTTGTTCTCACATCGAACAGTCAGTAGGAAGCTATATACTCCTTCGAGATGTGTAAAAGTGCAGAACTGGTGCTCTCTCGTATACAAAGTATGAACTGTAGCTAGGCTGTAGTAGTAGCGACAAGTTCCATCCGCTGCTTATCACGTCTTCCAAGCATACTAGATTTTTTATTCTCTGTGATGCTTTACGGTCATTCGTAGCACTTCGAATCTCAGTTGATTGTATCCACTATTCCCGAAATTTACATGTAAATTCCAAGGCCCTGAATTTTAGGCGCCGATAGGGAGTTCATCACTTCACATCGCTAGTTCAAGCGAACGGCATTCGGCTTTTATACGAAAAACATCTAAGCAGCACCCATGCTATTTCTTACATCACAGGTGGAGGATAGGTCCTCAACAGTATGGATCGAGCAGGAGGTGAACATTTTTCAACCGTTGAAAGCTTGCATACGGAAGTAAAGAGCAGTCGTCGTCATCAGATGAGTGTCGTCAATATTCCATAAAATTATCTCGTCAAACGAGGCTGTTCTCCTTCAAGTCGCAAGCTATCAAAAGATATTCCGGTATCCTGTAGGGAAGCTTTGCTTTGCCATATCCTAGTTTTATCCCTTGTTTGAGATTAGCATCCATCTCCAACGGCGATATACCCTACAATCTTCTGATCGTACTGTCCTGTTATGTTCATAATTGCGACCTCAATGTATTTGTTAGAGAATTCCCTCCAGTATCGTAGCACAAATGTCAAAAACTGTGTAATATGCTTTCAGCCCCGAAGTGACGATCATGTGCCATATCCTGACCCCTTTTGTTTGTGCAAGACTCAGTCTGACTTGTTGTATCCAGCAAGCGTAATATTAGGCCTAGATCGCATCTGGGGAATCCCAACCACTCGCAAACCGTTTGTTTTGGTGCTCAACTGAGAGTTCATCCTGTGAGTGAAACCAACCTATGCTGAAAAACCGATCAGAACCTACAGCTGTTTTGTTAGTATTGGGAAACATCAGCCGTTCACATCTCAGGAAACTCAGAGACTTTTAAACCCGTAACCTTCCGGCCAGTACTTGAGCACCGTTTGATATCGAGCGGCTGAACAGCACCGTGTTCAGCTTCCACTTTTGTGATGTTACTCCTAGGACGTGGAATGTTTTCAGTGTGATTCTCAAGGAATTTTCGGGCATAAGGAGTTCATGTTACAAAGAACAGGGCCCACAGAGTTTTGGCTCCAAAGATAAGAGAGTTTTATGCTTACAAAGTGAGAGAAATTGGAACCGTCAAAGGTCTTTCGTCATTTAATGAACTGTTTTACATTTGTTCGTCCATCTTGCCCAAACAGTGATGTTCATTTATTCGAACAGATGAACTAAAGTATCAAAAAATAATAATTGGAAATGAAATTTTATAATTACTTGATTAAATTCAACTACGAACACGATTG